CTTACTGCAACCTCCACCTCCTGGGTTCAAGCAATTTTCTGCCTCAGCCTCCCCAGTAGCTAGGATTACAGGCACCCACCACCACGCCTAGCTAATTTTTGTATTTTTAGTAGAGATGGGGTTTTATCATCTTGGCCAGGCTGGTCTTAAACTCTGACCTTGTGATTCACCCACCTCAGCCTCCCAAAGTGCTGGGATTACAGGTGTGAGCCACCGTGCCTGGACCCATTTTTCTTCTTTTTTTATCTGAAAATTTCAAAAACCAGAGCCAGGCCCTACTGTATCTCTTCTACCCAAGGCTCTATGTCCTAAATCCTCCATTTCAACAGTTTTTGTATTGCGGCTTGGTTAATAACGGTTGCCGCCAGGTGCAGTGGCTCACACCTGTAATCCCAGCACTCTGGGAGGCTGAGGCGGGCAGATCACCTGAGGTCAGAAGTTCAAGACCAGCCTGACCAATATGGTGAAACCCCGTCTTCAAAAAAAAAAAAAAAAAAAAAACAACAGTTGCCATTAATGGTGTCAGGAAACAGCAAGCACTGTGCTATTCGATTCATATACACTGTCGCGTTTAATCTTCTCGTCTACACTCTTAGACAAATATTACTATCTTCATTTAGTGGATGAAGAAATCAAGACTCAGAGAAGTAAGTTGTCCAAGATCTTATAGATTCTAGGTGGAATGAATATGAAATTTGAGTGAAGTGTTCTCTAAACCCAAAATCATCATTCTCAATAACTATACAGTATATGACCTCACTATTCTCTTGGATGACTTAATGGGACCTTAAAATACAAACCTACGCAGGAGGCAATTCAGGTTAATGTTCTGCCTTTTTATGATTAAGAAGGGAAACACATTCCCTATTTCACAACTGTGGGAATTAAACATACTATTATTGAATCATGGGGCTGAGGAAGACCAAGAATCAGCACTGATTAGGACATTAAAGGGCCTGTGCTTATGTTTGTATCCCTTCTACAACATCCCCACCAAGTGGTCATATGGTTTATACTTAGATATTTCCCCAGAGGTCAACCAACCTGTTACCCTTGCTTATTAATTCGACAACCAGTTCTTGTGCATTGACCATGTGCCAGGCACTGAGCTAGAAGCAGAGGATAAGAGAAACAAGGCTGTCATCCTGATTTTTTTTTTTTTTAAACAGTTTCACTCTTGTTGCTCAGGCTGGAGTGCAAGGTGCGATTTCGGCTCATTGCAACATCTGCCTCCTGGGTTCAAGCGATTCTCCTGTCTCAGCCTCCTGAGCAGTTACAGGCATGTGCCACCATACCCAGCTAATTTTGTATTTTTAGTAGACACAGTGTGTCTCTATGTTGGTCAGGCTGGTCTTGAACTCTCAACCTCAGGTGATCCACCACGCCCAGCCCATCTTGATGATTAAAAAGCTTGAGACTGGGTGTGGTGGCTCACATCTGTAATCCCAGTACTTTGGGAGGCTGCAGCAGGTGGATCACTTGAGGTCAGGAGTTCAAAACCAGCCTGGCTATCATTGTGAAAACGCAGTTCTACTAAAAATACAAAGAAATTAGCCAGGCTTGGTGGTTAGCACCTGTAATCCCAGCTACTCGGGAGGCTGAGGCAGGAAAATCGACTGGACCCGGAAGGCAGAGATTTCAGTGAGCTGAGATCACGCCACTGCACTCCAGCCTGGGTGACAGAGCAAGATCCTCTCTCAAAAAAGAATATATGTTAGGGAATTGGCCAAAAAATCAAGGAGATGAATTGTTTTAGAGATGAATACTTGTAAATCTTGACTCTCCAGGTGGACTTGAGGTGTAATTTAAAAAATCCCTTTTAGCCGGGCGCGGTGGCTCAAGCCTGTAATTCCAGCACTTTGGGAGGCCGAGGCGGGTGGATCACGAGGTCAAGAGATCGAGACCATCCTGGTCAACATGGTGAAACCCCGTCTCTACT